CCAAAGCAGTGTGACAAACTATGTTCAAAACCACTGCTGTGCTTCACAAGGATGAAGCAGTGGAAGGTGATGTATCCACATGTTTGCGTTACACAACAGGTAGCAACTTCTCTAAACACCTAAGTAATAGACCAGTCTGCTTTTAATCTTGCAGTCAATCCATACCAAAGAGGATGAAAACAGTAGCTATTTGCATCCAAGTATGTTCATAATGGTAAGCTCCTTGGTACAAAGACATTATTGAAGATAATTAAGTAGTTAAAAATAAGGCCTGAATCTACAGTAGTGTCAAGTATTATGAACTGGCATCTCCAATACAACAATAACAAATGATAATAACTGGCCAGGGCTTGATTTCAAACAATATTACACTGCAATTCAGGATAGAGAGAGCAAGGTTCAAGTACCACTATATTTTTAATAGATTTTCTCTTCTCCATTCACTAACAGCTCACAGAATGCAGACTGCTCAACTACATGCATTAGGAAGATATTTTAGCGCATGACAAAAAGCCCAGAATACAAAACCAGACTAACTGTGGGGAACTGGAAGACTCCCTCCAATCCACTGGCAGCAGAGGATATTTGCTTAAATGTTACAGCTTGATTTTGGAAGAGCCTCATTAAGTTTTAGGATTGCTAACAACTTTATGGAAAGACAAGAGTAAACCTAATCTGCTTTCTTCTTTTAGACTGAGAGTAGATTACTCTTGAAGCCTAAACGATAGAAAAAGCACAAAGATGCAGTAAGAGCTTCCTGAAGAAATTCTACAGGGCTCCAGATTTAAGACTGGTTTCCACCCCCACCCCTGCCCTTATTCCTGGTCCCTTCACTGTTTACACATACAACACACACAGGTAACAGATAACTCTCAGATACCTTCTGTGAATCACCAAAGGGCTTCTTAAACTTCCTATTAATCATCATTACACTAACTGAGGTATGCTACAGAAGGAAGACCTCCTGGTATATCTGCCCTACCTGTTTTTACATGTGGGCTTACAGCTCAGGAAACAGTGAAGGGCAGGTCATGGTACCAAAAATCAAACATGGGGAAAAGCAGCTGGTGCCACTCTCACTTCCAAGTTCCCCTTTTGGCATCACTGAGTCACATGCCTGAAAACAGAGGGCTGGTTTTTGTTTTAATTCTCCTACAGGTGCTTCTAAAAATCAAAACCTCTTATTCCTGGTTGCAGTTCTACAAAAACCAGATTAAAAAAAAAAAAAAAAAGAAGAACAAAGAGAAAAGCCTTTATTTTGGAGCAAAATTTAAACCAAGAGCTCACTACACCTCACCAAGCAGCAAGTTCCACAGGTATCTAGCTGCTCAGGACAGTTATCCTCTTTATTCTCTAAGGAACCCATCAAGAGGGTGCAGTCAGCAGATAAGCACTGATCTGCAACACCCTGGTGAAACCCCTCCTCAGCAACTCCTCAAGTGCAACAGGCTGGATACACAAAATGCGTTCTTGCCACACACTGAGCTCCTTGCAGCATCAAAGCAGGCCCTGCACTTGAGCAATGGGCCTGTCCTCACAGCAGTGTTACTAAAACTCATTAACCCTATTAGATGTGACAATTACATAGTTAAAAATGTTCTGGGGTTGTTAATTTCCTCCAGGCACAGGGAGGATTAGAACCTACACAAATTAACTGGTACTTCAAACATGTTTTTATGGAAGCTGATGGATCTGTAACAATTCCTCAAAACAATACAGGTTAGAAAAGTTTTTTAAACTCACATGTCAATCATAGAATCCCAGACGGGTGTGGGTTGGAAGGGACCTTAAAGCCCATCCAGTTCCAAACCCCTGCCATAAGCAGGGACATCTTCCAGTAGACAAGGTTGCTCCAAGCCACATAACATGTATTAGCTTTAGTTTAATGATACATGACGCCACAGCTATGTGATAGCAGGTTTCCAAAAATCTTGTGCATGAAGCAGCATGTCCTGCGTTCAGCAGTAGCAGTCATTTTTCTCCTTCTTAGTAGCAGGTGCAGTGCTGTGTTTTTGACTTTCAGCCTGGGAACAGCGCTGATAACACCGATGTTTTTAGTTGATGCTCAGTAATGTTTAGTCTGATCAAGGACTTTATGAGTCTCATGCTTTGCCAGGGAGGAGGGTAAGCCAGGAGGAAGCAGAGACAGGACACCTGACCCAAACTAACCAAAGAGGTATTCCATACGACAGCACTTCATGCCCAGTATAGAAACTGGGGGCCAGTTACCTGGAAGGGCTAGACTACTGCTCGGGTCAGGCTGGGTATCGGTTGACAGGTGGTGAATCATAGAATAGTTAGGGTTGGAAAGGACCTTAAGATCAGCCAGTTCCAACTCCCCTGCCATCGGCAGGGGCACCTCACACTCAACCACATCACCCAAGGCTCTGTCCAACCCAGCCTTGAACACTACTAGGGATGGAGCATTCACAACCTCCCTGGGCAACCCATTCCAGTGCCTCACCACCCTTACAGTAAAGAACTTCTTCCTTATATCCAATCTAAACTTCCCCTGTTTAAGTCTGAACCCGTTATCCCTTGTTCTGTCACTACAGTCCCTAATGAAGAGTCTGTCTCCAGAATCCTTATAGGCCCCCTTCAGATACTGGAAGGCTGCTCTGAGGTCTCCATGCAGCTTCTCTTCTCCAGGCTGAACAGCCCCAACTTTCTCAGCCTATCTTCATACAGGAGGTGCTCCAGTCCCCTGATCATCCCTGTGGCAAATCCTCATGAGCAGCTGTATTATCTTCCCTTGTTATTCCCCTTATCATTATTACTGGTGGCAGCAGCAGTGGTTTGTGTTATACCTTAGTTACTGGACTGCTCTTATCTCAACCTGTGGGAGTTACATTCTTTCCATTCTCCTCCCCATCAGTAGGGATCAGCGGAAGGGGGGGGGGGGGTGGGGGGTGGGCAAGCGGCTACCTGGTTCTGAGTTACTGGCTGGGCTTAAACCACAACACAGCGCATTCATGGTTTGTATTTTAGCTTGTAATCAATATTATCAACATAAGTTTGTAACAACCTACTACCCAGCCTGCTCTGAGCTTTCTCCTGTTTACAGTTAACTACTATGTACCTACTAATAGATACTGTTAAGAGAAAGCAAAGTGTTCATAATAAATGGGTTTACTAGTACTTCAGTTGAGTGTGTAGATTTTTCTTCCTGTAACATTGTTTTAATAAGAAGTTCAGTTGGAAGAAAAAAAACCCAAACCCTCCAACAGCCCATTTGCCATGATCAGAAATGTCCAAAGAGCTGATTTGTAAGAAATTTGGGGCAGTCAAAGTTCCGAGATTCATCAATAAGGAATCCTTGCCCTTCCAAAAGCAGGTATTTGCAGGAACCCACACCTTGCCAGCAGCAAGAAACCTGACCTTGCTAAGAAGCCCCACAGCCTGATGAGTCTTTTTGATGTTCACTGTGTGTGGGTCCAGCACCAGCCCACCCCAAGGCTTGTAAGCCCGTGAAGCCAAGATCTACACCTACCATTTAAAGGTCAGTTATTAACAGCAAAATTGCTCCTATCCTGAAAAAGTTCAAATTGCTGAATACAGTTGGGCAGAACTCACTGATTCAAAAGTCAGGGAGAAAGGAAGTAAAAAAAGTTAAGCAAGAAAGTGTAGAATTTGAGAAGTCCAGATCCACACCAAGGAGCCAGCCGCATGGCAACAAAGCTGGATCACAATCACTGCTCACAGTCCTCACCAGGGTTCATTAAGGACCCCTGAAACTATTACTGGCCCATGCCACCAGACTCCATCCAACCTACTCCAACATCACTATCCATCCTACAAGTTATAATCACTGTATTATCCATCTATACATTCATCTTAGTGTTGTTTCCCCCCAGCTTTGAACAGTATTTCAAAATTAGAAACAAAGCATTCAAACAGAAAAGCAAGTTTGGATTTTAACAGAAATTTTGAAGAAAATCTATATTCTGAAACTCAAACTTGTTGGAACTCCAGTGGCCAAACTTTGCAGGCAAGAGGAGAGGTTGTGAAATAAATGGTTACTTAAGGCAAGACATTCAGTGTCTGAACAAAAACAGACTGACTTCAAACAACATTCTATTTAAGCTTCCATTCACAAATGCAGTTTAAGTATTTGTTTGGTACTCATAACCTGAACCACTGAGTAACACTAACATATTATAAAAGACACTAAAATAATGATTATGTTCTGCTAAAAATGGTACATTCAGGAACACTTTAGGAAGTGCCACACAGTTACTACACAGGTTCTGCTTTTTCTTTCCAAGGTAAATATCCTCGGAGTTCAAAACTGTTAACTGGTACTACAATCTCCCTTTTATCACTTTCAATCCCTCCCGAACCAGTGAAGAAACAGCAGCAATTCCCCCATCTATAAATTACACAGGCTCAGCTTCAAAGGCTTACTAGAAGAGAAACAACAGAGAACTTGACATTTAGTGGTCTTTGATGCAGAGTAAGTCCCCCATCCCTTGTTCTTTACTTCTTAAAAGTTAGGAAGTTAACAGAATAACCCAAAGAGCTCCAGATTCCATGCTGACTGTTCTGCATTCAAACATGTGCAAAGACTGTCACTTAAGGCTAGAACCAGGATCACACTGAGAAAATAAAAAGCTTATCCTTTCTAAATTAAATCACACAAATATCACAGGCTAGTCAGTTCATTGCAGTTTAAGAGAAATGGCAAAAGCTCATTATGTTATCTTTTAAATTAAATGAGAAAGCAAAATGTAGCAGGCAACATGCACAACTATGCTACTTATTATCACAACTCAGTAAACAGGCAATAAAATACAACAGCTCACCACCCCCCGCAAGAGCCTACTGTACAGAAAGCCCTCTTAAGATTCACTCCTACAATGCAGTTAAGTAGAAGAGTTCAGAAAAAGGATGCACAAAAAACATTTAGCAGACTTAACAGTTTGATTAAACAGAGTCCTGAGAGTTTAACAAATGTTCAACAGCATACGCATAACATTTACAACAAGAAAGAAGAAAGGCACCTGGAGACATCTGACACTGGGCATGCTCTGCAGGCATCTCAGTGCGCACATGCTCTCTACCAGGTTGGAGCAGCCTAGCCACAAAGACCTTGGCACAGAACACTGCAGGGTGACAAAAAGGAAGGAAGAGAAGAAGCAGTTAGATGCCACAACAAATCACTCAAGGCAGGCAACTCATTAGTATGTTAACGTGGGTACTTATCTATGTTATTTCCACATTCATCACAAGGTTAGTGGCCAAGAGTAAAATAACAACTGAAGATCCTTTTCAGAAAACAAGCCCTCCCTCTGTCCTGTCAAGGATAACCAGCTCACCGGCAGTCACTTGGCTTCAGCACCCAGCTAACATTTTAACTTACTACCAGTGGAATCAGAGTTCTTACAGTTTGGTCCATCAGTCCAGCAATGAATCCACACATTGCTACCGACAACCACGGCTCTGCTGCCCAGGGAAGCCGCCTTCCTCATCAAACTGGCCTGGCTATAATTGCTGGTGAGGTTTTTACCTTTGCAGTCACCCTCGGGGAAGAGAAGCACAGGAGCTTTTCATTAGGGTGGCATGTCTTTAGAATACAACCTGAAGGAGCTACGGTAATTAAGGTTTGGCACCCCACACTGTCTCAACTTTCTCAACCAATTTGTGCTCATTTATTCTGACAGCAAAGCCAACATTAACTTCTGAGGTTACAGTCTGTGCACTGGGGCACTGACAACCAAAAAAGGTAAGTATTTTTAGAGATGAACACCACCTAAGTTTAAATTGCAAGACCAAGTTCTGTTTAGTCGAAATGCCTGGCCTCCTGATTAAACAAATGGGTTACTAGGGAAAAAAGGTTTGTGTTATCAGTTGAGGGTAGCCTAAAGCCAAATTATACCCTAACTACATTAATTACTTGTAACACCACCCAAACAACAAAGAACCAAGCTTAACTAGCAGACTCCACATTGCTGACACAAGTTAGGAAAAGTTTGGAAATACATTTTATTCCTTTTCCGAAGCTGAAGAAATATGATGAAGACTCCCCAAACCTTTTATAGCCCCATGACAGTATTTCACAGTTCCTTTTAAGGACAAAATAGCACATATGCTACATAACTACCACATAAAGTTAGGGAGAAGGACTCAATTCCTGCCTACCAAGCAGTGCACAAACCCAGCTCTAAAATTTGGCACAGACTTAGTAGTCAATATTTTTCACGCAGGCTTTCAATTTAATTTGGAAATTAAACAAATGACAAATCTTTAAAACAAAAATCCCACACAGGTAACACTGAAAGTGGAATAACTGGAGGTGAAAACTGAGTGGAAGTGGTTTGTGCCAGCAGTGAGGGAAGCAGGGAGCCCAAAGCAACTGAAGAGGTTAACATTTCTTACAAACATTCTCTCATACAATCCCAAACTGCTTTGTGTTGGAAGGGACCTTAAAGCTCATCCAGTTCCAACCCCTGCCATGGGCAGGGACACCTTCCACTACTCCAAGCCCTGTCTAACCTGGCCTTGAACACTAGCAGGGATGGGGCAGCCACAGCTTCTCTGGGCACCCTTTGCCAGCACCTCAGCACCCTCACAGGGAAAGACTTCTGCTTAAGAGCTCATCTCAATCTCCTCTCTGTTTAAAACCATCCCCCCTTGGTCCTGTTACTACACAACCTTGTAAAAAAAGGTCCCTTCACAAATTTCTTGCAGGCCCTTTAATGTATTTTATTTCATGTTATGAATAAAACAGAAGAAAGACTAATATTTTTATTTCTGCATTAAGATGAAAAATTAAAGCACACCCAGGACCCTAGAAGCACCAAAACACACTGGAATTCTCCCTCTCATCCAGCAAGGTTTGATTCCATGTAGCTTTTCTGTACTATGCACTTGTCATGTGAAGAGTGGGTGCATACATCTTACATACAGAGGTAAAAATGTTGTTTTATTCATTATCAAAATTCTTATTATTAGAAGTTTCTTATTTAGCCATCAAGTAATTAATCCAATACATCTGTAAGTACTTTGCAATCGTTTCCTTTGACACATTCTCACCCAAACAGTTGACATTTAGTTCCCAATGCCATTAGGGAAACTAATTTCCTAATTCATTTCAATGAGACACTAAAGAAGGTATTTGCATTTTGAAAGAAATATAGGATGTACTATTCAAACCCACTGATCACAATATTGAGGATGCGGGATCTTATATAGACCATTTTCAGTTCTGCTTCAGAACAAGCATCTATATTTGAAGAAACTTCCTTTCTCATCTGTTTCATTTTTTAATCCCATTTGGCACAACGCCTGAATACTGTTTCTGCAACACTGAACCATCAAAGTTCAGGGCACTGCTGCAGATATGAAGGCCCAAATAGTTTCTTATTTTTTTTTTAAACATACAGGCCTGGTAGATTACATAGTTCTGCTCATCAGCATCAGTTGGTAAAAATCACTGATCAAGAAACACAACAAACTTCTCTCCCAAGATTCTCATATAAGGTGGACAAACCCGTGTAATGTACATAATGAATCTAAGCTTCCAGGAGTCCACAGACTACAACCTAAAAATCCCCAACTTAGGTTATTGGACTTGTCTTCTTTTAAGTTCTACTTTAGTTAAGTAAGCCAAATTTTAGAAACTTAAGAGAAATATGGGTAACTAAGGAACAATTTCTAATTTCAGTCAAAAATACATGAGCCACAGAGGCCAGATTTCTATGACAAGCTTAAGCCCCCCAGAACACTTTCTACAGTATTACGAAACCCTGAATAAAAGGGTTTATAAAAACCACTGGACACTTCACTGTAGCAACAATATTGCACAATAGTAGAAATTAAATACTGCATTCTACTTCACACTGAAACAGGAATGCACAAGTATTTGTGTGCTTCACTGACTTGTTTCCTCTTGACCCTGCCTGCTTGTAACTGTCATGAATAAAAACCTAACAGCATACTAAAGATTTCATTTTCACATAACAAGGGCCTGAAATACACCTTCACTTTCTACTTGCCTTTAAGCAGGATCCCATTTAACAGAGTCTGGGGAAGGGAAAAGGATCAATGGGCATAATAATAAATGCACTTATAAACCAGTATCAACCCCACCAGCAGACCACAGAACCATACAAGTTAAGATAAAGTCGATCAAAGCTTTTTCCTTAAAATTAGAGTTAAGTTGCAATACAGAGTTTCAATAGACTCCCATTAAGATAGCTGCATGTTCACCTAAAGCCCTGACTGAAGGGGAGGAGGGAGTAGGTCAAAGAGGGGGCTCCACAGCAGTAGGGCAGGGCATGAACGATGCTGAAAGTCTACAAACATGGAAACCTCATTCTGGTATTTAAATGCCTTATGCTTGAAAAGATGAATGCATTAATTTTATTATTCTATGACTGATTTTAGTTCAATACACCAAGAACTGCTCTGGTGGTCTAGCCTCAGGAATTACATTTCAAGATTTAGGTTTTAAACTTTCAATCTCAAATTTAAGAAACCTCTGCAAATGATTGCATTTACACTCAAATCTATAAATTCTTAGTAATATCAGTAAAAAGGATATGCTCCAATGTCTTTAAAGCCCAGATGCTAAGCAGCAGGTTGGATGGGGCTTTCAGTAACCTGCCCTAGTGGAAAGTGTCCTTACCCATGGCAGAAACTTTGAACTAAATGAGCTTTAAGGCCCCTTTCAACCCAAACCATTCTGTGATTCTGTGCAAGCTTCTTATAGAAATGCACACAGCAGTGTTCTTCCAATAAATCAACTTTGTAGGTGGTAACTTTTACAACAGAGGCACCAAAAGAAAGTTCAACTTAGGACTTTCCATGGGTTTACAGTAATGCTGTTTTGTTAAAGCACAATAAAATGCCCAGAAACCTTTCACTTCCGTGCTTCTGAAATTAAGTTATGTCTTAAAGACGTCCTCATATATACCCCTGAAAAAAAAGGATTCATCCTATAAAATCCACTAAATTGCTCAAGAAATTAATATGGACTATTTCCTATGTTCTGACAGAGCTAATACACCTTTGATACCCAGAGAGAAATACTGCAATACCATAATTAAGAATGACAGCACTTCCTTAACCCTTTTCTCCACACTCATTTTACTTAGACAAGATTTATATTGCTATAACTGCAGTTTGGGCATTCTGTTCTCAAGGCAAACACATCTTTGCTTTTGAAAATCAGCTTCTAAGCCTACTCCAAAAAAAAAGTGGTAAGGGGGGCATTTTATAATTCCAAAGAAAAATACAGTAAAACAAATGAAGGAGTTAATTTACTCCCCTCTTGTTTCTCAAAGAGCATCACTGATTTTATTAATCATATTAGCTCACTCCTCCTGCAACAACTTTCTTGTGCAGTTCATTACAAAATGAAATAGATCTTAGGAACCTAAGAAACCATTCAAGTTTACAAATCCTAAAGCTTGAAATGCATTTCACAACTTTCTTGTGACAACAAACCAGCTCCTCAGCAGGGTTAGTTTGGTCCTCTCCAGAAGCTATCAGAACTAGCAAGCCTGGATTTAGAGAAGGTTGATGTTCTGAATGACTTCTTTGCCTCAGTCTTCACTGGCAAAGGCTCTGACCACAGCACCCAAGTCTCGGAAAGCAGAGGCAGGGACTGTGAGAATGAAGACCTTTGGCCCACTGCAGGAGAGGACCAGGTTTGAGACCATCTTAAGAACTTGAACATGCACAAGTCCATGGGACCTGATGGAATCCATCCATAGGTCCTGAAGGAGCTGGCAAATGAAGTTGCTAAACCAGAAGACAAACTGTGTGGAGACCTCAGAGCAGCCTTCCAGTATCTGAAGGGGGCCTATAAGGGTTCTGGAGACAGACTCTTCATTAGGGACTGCAGTGACAGGACAAGGGGTAACGGGTTAAAACTTAAACAGGGGAAGTTTAGATTGGATATAAGGAGGAAGTTCTTTACTGTTAGGGTGGTGAGGCACTGGAATGGGTTGCCCAGGGAACTTGAGAGTGGTCCATCCCTAGTGGTGTTCAAGGCCAGGTTGGACAGAGCCTTGGGTGGCATGGTTGAGTGTGAGGTGTCCCTGCCCATGGCAGGGGTTGGAACTGGCTGATCTTAAGGTCCTTTCCAACCCTAACTATTCTATAATTCTATGTCCAAAGGGCTATGAATCAAGATTTGAACTGGCAAAAAAAAAGGTACAACCAAATTGCTCCAGCCTTCACTTTGAATTCTCTTCGGGTTTTTAGCTGTAAGCAACTCACATGCTATTTATTCAACACCAGTAGTTTACTGTTTAGTTTACTTTGATTTAGGCCTGAACCAACAGATGTGATACTTCTTTCCATTAAAACTTAGTACTGATGAATGTATGGGCTAACTGCTGTTACTTGAAACCCTCTCTATGGCTGGGAATGAGACACATTGCTCGGTGACTCAGATTTAATGCTGAAAAGAGGGGTATTCTGGAAAGCAAACCTAGACTTGAAGGCCAGTACAACCCTTTATGAAAGCTACATGCTCCCAAGTCTGTGTTCCAAATTCAGTATCAAGCTCAGATCCTAGTTTCTAAAAAAAAATCAGCATTAACCACAATAAGCCATTAAACCAAACACAAAGCAGTGACACTGTTCAAAGGCCTTCAGTATTATTTTACACTCAGCAGGGAAGAGTTTCCAACTACTCAAACACCATCCCCTTTCATTAGCTGGGATATCACCCAGATCTTACCTGGCGTTTTTACCTTCAGTGATTTATTCAAAGCAGTGACAGGCAGAACAGTGTTGAACCAACCAGATACTGGAACAAGCGGTCTGAATTATTTGCAAGAGGTGGAAAAGTGTCAAAGTACCCTCTTAAGCATGAGTACTCAATCGGAAATTGTGTGGGGGCATGCACATAACACAAACCCACATGTTCTGCAAGTGACAGCCTGGCTTGGCATGGTAACACTTTCACTGCACTGCATGTTTTGGTACAACATTGAGTATCATTGCTGAGTTACTCAAAACCAAAGAAACAATTTACGTCAGACCAATAGTAGTACTTTGTACTCTTCCTATTCTCATTTCAAAACCAAGTTGTCCCTTGAGAGGTGCAGTGTATTCACATGCTCCATACAAGTTTGTTGGGATCAGTGCCATCACATCACTACCTTTTCCACATCCAAAACGCAACCTCACATCCAGCCTTGAGTGTCTGATTTGGAAGGTTGTTCAAGTACCATTCAGACAGCATTATTTCCAAAACCATGGAGTTTTACATATGCATTACAGTGTTCTGCCACAAGAAAAGCTACATCCCTCTACTACTACATATCTGTCCTTCAATGAAAAACAAATGCAAAAGTGAATTTCTCAAAAATAAGTATCCGCAGAGCAGCAAACTCATTTTAACTTGTGAAATGTTTTTGATTATTCCAATAGCTGAGTCACACTTCCATTAGGAAAAAAACAAGCTATTTAGCTAAGTGACTGCCACTCAAAAATCGCTCAATGTTACAACCTTCCAACAGCCATTCAAGATCTGCATGTCAGCTTCTTGCATTTGGGGGGAAACACAGACTAAGTGAGGAATCAGGAAATTTAAAGCAAGACAAAGGGTAAATAATTCATTAGATAAATTCTCCTCATTACCACACCGTTGTTCTAGATAGGACAAGGAATTCACAGAAGAGTGATCGATAACGCAGTCCCACTCTGCTCCTGAAGATCAAAGTATGCGCTTGCTACAACAAAACAAATGCTACAAAAGGAATATGGGTTCAGTGGAGAAAAGATTAAATGCTTTATTTGAATATAATAACAATCTTACTCCATTATAGTTTATTCATCAGGATAAGACTCATGAAATGGAGCAGCTTGCTTCCAGGAAAATACAACAGACTAGGAAGAAAATCCTAATACATTTACATAAGTCATTCTGAATGCTACCTGAAATCACCTATATTACCCAAAGTACACAGGATTTAGACTAAGCCTTGATTCCTTCATATACAAACAACCCCGATTCCCAGAGTTTCAAAACTCCAGGAGTGTGACAGTGCTTTCTGCATTAACACATCCTGTGACAAACTGAAAAAAGGCCATTTCAAAAGAAAAACGGCTTTCCCATGCTCTTCTGCAGCGGGAACAGAGGTGTTACAGGCATCTACAGACAGCAACACACCTGCTCATGGTGCATCGGGGGGGGGGGAGGCGGGCAGAAAAAAGAGAAACATGAAAAGAGACCTAGCATTGCCAACTGAAATAACAGAAATTTTGAGTGAACAAGTTAAACACTTTAAAAAATGTATCTGAAACTTGTCTAAGATGTTAAAAGTTATCTTAAAAACTTAATATGAAAAAAGAGTCTAAGCATGAGGCCTAAAAACCTAGTATTAACCCCATCTAAAAAAACTCTAGTCTAGACAAGGCAGCGTGCGCTTTAACTTGACAAGTTCAAATGCACACGAAGCCTGGCTCAGCACATTGTAACACGGTAGTTGCACATTCAGGGCCTATGCATCAAATGCTGCAGAGGAACAGTTATATAGCCTTTGATAGCCAACTCACATTTTACTTTCTGACATGAAAGATTCAAAACCTGAGCAAGAATTAAGCCTCTAACCTGCATATACTCGCACTCGAGTTCAACTTACTCTTTCCTACTGCCTTTGATAGGCCTGTTTCATACTTCAAAAAGCAGTATTAAACATCATAACATCAGGGATCTTAATCAGCGGGAGTACACATTTATGCTTCCTCTTCCCCCCCTCAGCCCCCTCCAGTGTATTTTAAATTACTTCCTCTTTTCGGTTTCCATCACTCAAGAATGCCAAGTTCACTTCTGCCTCCCCACTCTCTCAGTTTAGAAAAAGTCACACCCTGAACAGCAAATAATCCACGGGAAGATGTTATTTTGCGGTGTTAACTCCAAGATGAGTCTCATGGGTGTGGGTAACAACTTCAACTTCTTATTAGATGGGACTGCAAGAAATGTGTCAGACTGAGGTTAATAACTATTTCCTTTCCATTTTCCCTCAGATTCTCTTTAAAGAGTTGTACTAAAAAAGCATGCCCCAGGCTTCTCCACCCTAACCAAATAAAATTCAAGTACTCAGAGAATCAAACCAGGACACAACATCACCCTGTACATAATTCATTCATTATAAATGTGCTCATCAATTACATTCAAGTATAAGTTTTTCACAAAACACCACGCCAGCAAAACAAACGCAGAGCTAAAACAAGACATGAGATCAACAGCACCTACAGGAGTATCTTCTACGGTAGATTAAATATTGAGGCCTTAACATTCGATTTAATAGCTGTCTACAAAAGAGAACACTCAAGCAGCTGTGTTATGGCTATTAATATCAAAAGGGATTGAGGCATACTGCTTCATACTATCTTTAAGAATAAGTTGTCAAGTTCCTTAAAGCACTAACTTACAATAAAGCTGGGCATTAGGAGAGGTGCAGGTCTCCCATTCACAACAGGTATGTAACTTGCATGACTTTCCTATCAGACAGGAACTCAGCCTTCCTTCCTATCGCACACAAGTATCTTCCCAACTTGTCCTTCACGTAGTGTGTTGCAGCCTTTTACAGTCATCCCAAAATACAACCACACTCCCCTACTCTGAAATAAACTTCAAAACTTCTCTTACAAATGATGCCTTACACCTGGCTCAGCTATGATTTGATACCAGCTAGGAACAGAACTGTAGGTTGAAACCTCATGGAGGATTGAAAAGGCTGACTCCAGTGCTGCCCATGACAGAATTTCAAGCGGCATTTCAGCAGGAAAAAAGTTACTGGAATTTGTACTATGAACTAGAAAAGTTCTCTACGTTTCTGATGAACTCAGCAGAGGACATGGCTAGAAAGCAGAGCAGATGGCTATTACTTTCCTGAATTCAACTGAGAAGTTCAGTCAAGTCACTGGTAGGACTGCTTTCACCTTTCAGAAGCAGGATTTGTGAGCCACTTGCTTAATGCCAATGTACCTGCAGATCCTGAATTCCAGCTCCGCAGAAGACAAGTTTACCTTAAATCCCTATCTCTGCTTTTCACAGTAGGCACGCGATTTCCTAACAAGCTGCATGCATTTTTACTGAATATGCCCTTCCCTTCTCTAAGCTCGGGAGCTAACGTGGTGTCTTCTAACACTTTAGGGACATTAAGCAGTTAAAGCAAGATACTGAATTTGCGGACAAACTCATCTAAGCAGAAGCAGCAAGATATAGTACAGGGTGACTTCTTACCTGAAACTTTGTTTCTGGGCTTCAGATCCACCAATCCACAATGAAAGGGGATTCGAATGGGTTTTCCTTCTCAGACTTGTCTGTTAAAAGAGAGCAGCCAATCATCTTCAGCTTGGTGTATCTACTCCTTTCTTGAACGAACTCCCAATTACGTACTCCTAATGCTGTTAGAGAGACAAAGCAGCCTGGGCACCTCACCACTCCATAACAACTACGTTAGTGAGGACATTGGATTGGTGGATCTAAGACAAAGAAACAGACTGACAGACAAGAACTTGCTCTTTCCCCTGCCCTGGATCACCCGATGCACAAGTGCCTTGGGACTACAGCTCACAAAGATAAGGAAGATGAGAAGAGACTACAATGCAAGTAACAACACAAATGCTAAAATGACCAGCTTACAGCTCACAAGCCTGCTCCATGAACTGCCAGAACAGTAACGCACAGTCCAATAGCGTTCTCAGACTTTGCCATATGCATGCTCTAAAGCATTCTATTGCAGCGATTATTTCCCTGTTTCCAGACTCAAGATGATGTTACTTGTCTTATGGTTCTGCAGCACAAAGATGGAGTCTTCAAGACACTTACAATCTGAATGACAGCACTGACATCAGTAAATTTTCAGTATCACTGTGTCTCTGGAAAACAATCTAGAACTAGAAGAGAGTAACCCAAGGCACACTACTCCTGAGACAGGAAAAAGTCGCCTCTTGCTGAGCAAGATGGTAAAAGGCCTTCATCCAGTACTGTTAGCAGCACACTTAAGGGTACAAGTGACTAATTTAAAACAGCTTTAACAATAACACCTTAGAGAAGATAGAGCCCCCAGAAATCTCACACTATGTAAGTAACCGAACACAGATCCTAGAGACCAGATTTGTACTTTCCAGTCAGATCTTCGAAAAGGTTGAGATACAGCACACAAAATTTCTCCTAACAGCAGTCAGAAGCAATAGCTATGTTTTCTAGTACATAATGCTGCAACATCCACAAAAGAACATGCCACGGCTGCCTCCCCAACCCCTCTCAAGAGCTGACCCAAGCGTTCTTCAGCCTCCACTGCGCCCCATGTCTCAAAGGACCAGCAGCTTGGAGAAGGGTGGGAGAAACTGCCACTACTCACAGCTGTGCCAAGAAACAATCTTGATGAGGACAATCAAGTCTCTTGACTGCCCAGAGCTACCCAAAGAACAGAGCCTCTTCATCCTGAGGGGATTTTCTGCTTTTCTACCACTGGTAAAGCAATGGTTGATAAGAAGGTGGCATTTCAAGGACAAAGCAGCACTGTAAGTCTAATACCATGTCCAATCTATGATTTTAAAGGCTGCCAAGTAAAGTAGTGAGATGTCAAGGCCTATGACTCAGTTTTAAGAGTACAATATAGCTCGGTAAGAAGCCAGCTATCGAAATTACATAAATGTTCTGATTTGCTCAATCTCAACAGAGCCAGTGGGGTGTTGGAAGGAGAGGCCCTTCACCATGAAGGCATTCCTCAGAAGTATTTGCAAGTGTTAAGAGCACAGGTCTGATTTTTGCCTCGAGAAGTACTGGTGTGATGGAGACAGCCTGAATATCGAGTGTGCTAGTCCTCCACTGCCCAAATAGAATGGTGTAAAAGACTCTATCTAACACGAGTTGTAATTGTAACTTAGTAAGTTTTGCAAATAGATTCCGAATATAGATTTTCAAAGAGCTGAAGTATTTTTGTCTGAGATCTTTAAATTGGCTCGACCAAAAAGGATAGAAGATGTGAACCCAGCACCATCGTGCAAGCCACTCTGAAATCCAAATGTATGCTTCACAAACATGCAAGCAGCACAAGCTGTCGTAACTTCTTCTGCACCAAAATTCCATATTCAAAACTGCTCAGAAGGATGAAACTGAGAATGCAGCCCCAGAACTCATGACACTGAATATATAGTTGCAATTCTCTTCCAAGTCAATGAGGAAAACAAGGTATTGCAGCACTGCCACAGCCAAAAGTCAGCCTGAAAAGCTTTTCTTCCACCGGTTTACCAGACAGCACATCAGTCCCTATTCCTAGCAAGTAGATACCAACATATATCCTACACACTTCTGTCTGTATTCATACAAATAACAGGCCTGGGAAGCTGAACTAGTCTGTGATCCCCAATAAAAATGTTAATTTCCTGGGGTAGAAGCACAAGGATGCAAGTCCTGAGGGGACCTGAATTAAGAAAGCCATGAAGAAACAACACACCTTAAATCATCCCCATTGCTAATGTAGCCTGCATGAGAAGCAAATTAAGCTTCCAAAAGATTCAGCAGATTTTTGTTGTTAAAATACAAAAGGTGTTGCATTATTTTTGCCTTATCTGGCCTTGGTCAGGCACTACATGTACTGGGAACTGTGTGGAAGTAGTAGAGGAAAACAGAGTAGGCTGTCAGATGTCACACCACTGAGCTCAGAAATACACCAAGAAGCTGGGGAAGGAAGGGATTTTCCAGAAAAAGTGGATTTTCTGTGAATAATGAAGCTGTATCAATACCATGAAAATCAAACCGAGAAATCAAATTATACAGCAACATAAACAGTGGCATTAGTTATAAAGAAGACATTGCCAGAGGAAAAAAAACCCTGTAACATAAAGTGTTGTTACTAATCAGCATTAAACAACTCCATAAATATTCTCATTTCTTTTCATTTTGCTCCCTTGCAACTAAACAAATTCCTTGTCACAGAGCAGCCCTCTTATAACCATGGTCTCTTATTCTCTCCCACACATCATTCTTCTCGCATTGGCACATCTGCTGCAGCATGCATTTCATTTTAAACCCATCAGCAATCTCGCTTTGCAGCCTGCTGCACAGGCACTCCAAGCAGCACAGGAAGAAAACGCCAAAGCAACAGTGACCTCTAAACTCCGCAGCAATCAAACGGAATGCATCGAAAGACGTACATCAAGCTGACTTAACAAGCAGCAAAGGTGTTACCGACAAAACACGTGAAAAGTTCCATCCATCCTCCAAAGAACATCCCCAAGTCTCTGAGTGTTCAGCTTGGAACAAGGCAGTTTGTTTTGCCAAGATGCCGCTTGCAACACTCATCAGTGACCCAAATTTTTAGCAACATTCAACAGCTCTGCCTGAGGGATGCAGCCAGCACGGCTGAACAGCAGCAATGCCACACATCTTCATAACGTTTTAAAGGAGCAACCCAATAGCACTTCAGAGAGGGCAGCTGGTGCACATTCCAGCATGCCTGTGGAGATGTGATCTCATTCCACCTGGACACTGGATTTACAAGCATGGTTCAGGACCTGCAGTTCCAAGCCAGAGCTTGCAGGGAACACATCGTGTTCACACACACAGGAAGCTTTACACGTGTTTCAGGCAGCAAGGGAACTTTCTCTGCTGCATGTTTGCTCACTTGCTCAGCACTGTTGCAAAGGTTGGGAAATTCAGTCTTGTTAGACAATTTAATTGCACTGTGAGGCAAAAAAAAAGGCAGGAATCTCTCCAAATCTCAAATGAGGTTTAAAAAGCCTTTGGTAAAACACCAGCATTCAGTCTCCCCAAGAAACTCTAACTTCTTTCTATTAAGAGCTAAAAGCAATTTAGTTTCAGAATTTTCCCTACAAATGGAGCATCTGCAGTTTTCCTTCCCCTGTAAAAACAGCTGCTGCCATAATGATTACAAACTTCAGACAACCTTTTTCTTTATAGCCTCGCTTCTGCATCTTTGTATTCTCCTTCTTTCCTTTGCCACCTCATTTCTCCAGTCAGTCTATTGTTTCATCTAACCCTTTCCAAAAGATACAGCTTTCCACACTTCTTTCTCTACTTCCCTCATTTCATCATCATTCTGCTGGCTCGGAATACACTTGCCTTGCTCCAATTCATTTTCTTAAGCTCTTCCTTCCCATTTTCTGCACCGCTGCCAAAGTCACAGCAATTCATTCTCTTTATATTTGTATCCTTTTTACAGGCACTCTCTGAAATGTGACTGTCATTTTGCTAGCACAGATCCTCCATCCTCTGCCCTGAAGGCTCATCCGTGCCCTCCCACAGCCATGTAACTACCACCTCTTCAGAGATCTGCTCTAGATGTTTTTTTCCTCCCAAACTGCCCAGCATGCCACCAACTGCATGCTTCACTGTCTGACACGCAGCTCCCAACTCTAATTTAGCTATTGACAATTAAAAAAAGATGACTGCAAAGCAAATAAATTCTTATCCTACTAAAGAAAGCACAGCTAGTTTACACATAGGTTTACAAACATCTTACTAGCTCTGTCTACTCCCAGGCTTTGATTAAGAACCAGTCACATTTCAGCTAGAACAAGTACCTCCTTTGTTTCAGATGCAAAGATGACTGTGGCCTAGTCCAGCTGTATCTCTGTTGCTACAAAACTAAACTCATTTAAGTATTCCTCTAAGAATATGTGGGAAGACACACAAAAATTAACTGCTGCTTGGCTTGCAACCATTAAGACAGGGAAATAAAAAAAGACAGAATATTACAGCCCTACTGAGATACACACAGCAGCTACATTTTAGTTTCCAAACAGAACGCTAAGATTTATTTTGTGTTCTAAAGCTTTCAATAGTTTGGGGGCACAGCCATCTCCAGCTGCAGTAACCCAAGGAACTTCAGGTACTGCTGGCACAGTTTAAAGAACAAATTGCTGCTGACTTCATCCAGAGATTGTTACCTCTTGAAGACCTTCAGCTCATATGAAAGTTCTGCCAGAAGAAACTGAAAGACTTTTGGCAAGACACTCAATTATAGTTTTTCATTTATTATTTACAGAGGCACATAAACACTGGACACTTCTATGAGACAAAGACACATTCTAACCACTGAAGGTAGCATATTAGGAAGAATATTTTCCATACCTACACCTTTAAGGTACAAATGATGATACAGCGTAAGCAAGCTCTTGTCAGTTTTATCCTTAGGCATATTCTTTCTATAACCTTTTCATGCCACCATCATGGAGAAGCATTATTTTGAATTCAAACTGTCAACTCTGCAGCAGCAGTATCTGTGTTTGGAGAACAGCATGCGCACCAAGGACACAGCGCAAAGACAGATGATAATAAGCTCAGCAAGTGCAATAATTTACACACAGTTGGCTTCCTACTTCAGTAACTGTGTCCCAGAGGTGTCTGGTGGGTACAAGAGCCCGGGAGCAAGAGATCTGCCTTTTTTTATGCTATCCGTATCTTATGCTGCACACAGTTCACCCCATAAATGCAAAACCTTTCATGCTGTATAGAAAAAAATATGTATTTACCATACTTACATATTCTTTTACAGCCCCTTTAACACAAACTAAGAAGCTAATTACCACCTACTTGGAAAGTGTGCTGGTAAAGCAGCAGTATGGTTCAGTGAAGCTTCCTGAGAAAAAACATGAAGCTTTTAACAGATATTGACAGCAAATGAATACAACAGGTTTGATGCAACTGAGCAATACAGATTTCACACAAAACTGAATCTCCAGATAAAACCCAAAGCCTGTTTCAAAAAGCACTGTCGGCAGTTCACCTTAAGAAAGAAAAAAGTCTGGTTCTTTAAAAGAGCAAAAAGGTTACAATTATCTAATTTCACAGCGAAAATTGAAACTGAGGGAAGAAAGAGCCCTTTCAGTTGTTTTGGCTACCCCTCCATCTGTTCTGGATTACTTCCTTACTACTCATTTTCTAATAGTTTGCCCACTCATGCAAAGCATTTGACTGAGGCAGCATAAACATGAAGGCATCTAAACTAAATGCTGGCCCACCAGACACGCCGCCAGCCTAAATCTGGACCTCCCACCATCAACCCAAGTTACAAGCTTGAGCCCTCATGCCTCTTTAAAATCACCTCTACAGGCACCGGGTACCTTGTCTGTAGAGGTGGGCACCATCTGCAAACAATAGCCATTGAATGTCATCACTAGATCAAACACTCATGGCTATTAAAAGGGCTGGATGGCATGGTTTGCAAAGCTAGAACAAGACATGCAAAGCATAAGCTGTCCTAAAAAATACAGTGACTTCAGAACACTTGCTAGAACTTCCTACGGCAACTAGAAGTTGTCACTCTGAAACCTTAAAATATTTCCCTTAGATTCCAGCTTTAAAAATAGAACAGTATTATTGCCATGACTGATTTTTCTTTAAATAAATGCAAATGATCTATCAAGCAAAGGGACAGTGGAGGGGTAGAACATCGTGTTCTGAGACTTCCATGCAATTAACATATTGACACATTATCTCTTGTTTATCAGCTACTCAGAATTATATCTTATTTGCTCCTCATAATTTCTGCATCATACATTTGCTCCTGTATTTATTATAGATTCTTCCTCAGCATTGGAGGGAAGGGAACGAGTACTCAAAGCGCATCAAAATCCACCTCCTGCAGCAAAGAGAGGCATAAACCATCCTGCTTTTAGCAAACAATAACATTCTTCGAAAGAAAAGCATCCTGCTAAGCTGATCCCAGGTTTAGGGATGGTTTGCCACCAGCATTAACAACCGAGACAAGAGTTTGCACATAATACTGAAATCCCAGACTTGAAACAGTTCATACAGCTTCTGCTTTGTGTATTTGCCCTGGTTAAACCATGAAAGGATTTAAAGATACCTTCTGGAGAAGCTTTTCTTCTCCAACACATGAGGCAGCAAAACTTCCAAGCCATGTCTTCGTTTAGGAATGACTTTCAATGATTTTAGTGAAACATTAACACTCAAACACAAGTATTACTACGCAAGACTTCACTAAGGCTGCAATTAAATTCAACTGCATTTTAGAGAGCCATGTTTCTGCTGGAAACTTAAAGAATTTTTCATCTTATCAAATGTTTACAGTTATTAATTTCTTGGGAAAGAGAAAAATGTATTTTCTCAACCTCCTACTAGGTAACAAAAAACTTAATAACGCCATGGCTATTTGCATGGATCAGAACATTTCCCAGGCCGAACTGGACATAGAGGGCACAACCACCATCAGCAAAAGTTACACTTGCTTCCAATGTGGCCCCAAATAGAAGAGACTTCTAAAAGGGGTGAGCAGTTACAGAAAGACAAGCAAGAAACCTTGGTAAGGCAAATGTACCTTCCAGCCTCAACCGCTACTGCAGCATCTCATGTAACCCCAGGCTGAGGAGCATTAACAACCCTCCAGCTCCAGGTAGGAGATAGAACTCACTTTAGGCATCGGAAATGCAGCAGACAGCGTCTCTGGGGGCAACTCATCCTGTAAGGGACACCCACACAGCTGCCCCAGGCTTTATCCTCTTGGAAACAGCATCAGTATCAGCCACTCTTAAGTGCAAGATTGCCAGATCAATAGGGACTAGAAAAAGAAGCTCCTGAGAATAGCTCTTCAGCTACTGGCCTCAGCAATCAACAACAGCGAGAATCACAAAGGCTTTTGGGGTTTCCCCTTCATTATTTGGGGGTTTCTAATTTCTGCTCCTTGAGAGCAAATAACGCTCAAACTAAGTTCATATCTTGCAGATCAGGTAGTTTAACAAAAGCAATACTGGCTAAAAAAAAAAAACATTTAAAGTCTCCACTGAACCCAGTTTGCCTTCACTACCTCGAAAACAAATGTCTGCATTTTACCACTCAACTCTGCAGCACTGTATGGAATTTTGTACATGAAAGCAAACGATGCTTATGACAATGAAATTAGAAAGTATTTACCGATGATTATTATTCCTTCTTAGCTCCTATCTTAACACAGTTAATTCCAAAAGGCAGTAAAACTCGGGGCCCCCTTATATTTGGCTACAGAAACCTCAGATTTGCTTGTATTTAAAAATAAACCAAACCTTCTCTTTCTATTGCTTCCATCTGGCTGCCTCGCCACCAGCCCCAATTTAGCGGCGAAAGCACTAATTAGGGGGTACAACGAATGCACCAATTAGCTCTCGTTAGAGAATACCGTGTGATCCGGACCGGGGCTCAAGCACCGGTGCTGCCCCAGGCAAATGGGAGCTGCCCCCGCACCGCCCGGAGGAGCCCCAAATGCTCATGGGGGAAGTTTAACCGTTCCCCCCCCTTCTTCCTCCTCCCCGGCTCCGCAGCCTCCCGCAAGTGCTCCCGAGGGGCTCCGGCCAGGGAGCGCGGGGAGGACCCGCCCGGAACCGAGGCGCTGCGGGAGCCCGAACCCAGCCCCTCCGGGGCATTTCGGTTCCGGTATTTTCAGCGTGCGCGCGTCCCCGCGCACCGGGACCCATGTTCGGCGCCTCCGCCTTCCCACCGGGGTTTATTATCTCCATGTGTCTCTTTTTAGGGTACCTAAAGTGCCCGTCGCGCCCCGGCCTGCACCAGGAGCACCAGCGGCAGCCGCAGGGAGTAGGGAGCGTAGCGGATCCCCCCGGGACGGCGGAGCGGGCCGCAGGCGCCGCCAGCCGAGAGGGCCTCGGCCGGAGGCGAAAGCGGCCTCCCCACAGTCACCTTCCCGGCGGGGCGGCGGCACCGGACCCCGCAGGCCCGGCCGCGGCGGCGGGGCCTGCCGGCGGGAGGAAAAAAAGGAAAGAGGGGTCTGCGCGGGAGGCGGGGGTCACTCACCATCAGCTCGATGGTCTTGTCCTCGATCACCGAGTCGGGCTCCATAGCGGCGGGCAGCTCCGCCCCGCACCGCCGCGCCCGCCGCCTGCCCGCACCCGACAGGCCCTGCCGCTGCAGCCGCCGCCGCCGCTCCACTAACCCCCTCCCCCCCCGCCGCGAGCACGCACGGACGCGCCGACGCACGCACGGTACGTTCCTCCAGGTGACGTCACGACGCCCGGAAGAAAAACGGCGTTACCCTTCCCAGGCTCCTCTCTTAAGGGACTACAGCTCCCGGCGGCCCTCTCGGCACTGCCCCGCCATTGGCTGCGGCCGGCTCCCAGCGGGCACCGCGGGGAGCCCCTGAGCTCTGCTTCAGGCAGGGCCTGCACCGGCGCGGGGCCGTGGAGCGCGCCGCCTGACAGCACCGGCCCGACCGAGTCCAGGGCCCCTTGCTCCCGGAGCAAAGCGGCTTCTCGGTCCTGAGGGAGCGCGGCGGGGTTAACGCAGCAGCGGAACGAGAGGGCTCTCCGAGGACGAGGGGCCTCCCCCCGGGCTGCAGGAGTCACCGGACGGGCGGCGCGGCCGCTCTGCCCTGCCTGGTGCGGTGCCTGGTGATGCAAGACGGGTGCGGAACAGCGTGAGGTTCGGGGGAGGACGCTGCGGGATCGAGAGTGCTGGAAACTCCTTTGGCACCCCAGTATATGCACTTGGAGATTCAATGTCTTAGCGTTAGACCAGGAGCTGTTTTGATTTGTTCTCCTGCTTTTGTACCTGGACCAGGGAAGGTAGAGCGAATCCTCTCATCAGCCAGACCCTACGTGGATCTCTCCATTAAGCTACAAGCACATGCAATGGAGTGTGTCCAAAATCCTCTTCACTTACAGAGAGAGGAAATTGGCCCCTGGCTTTGAGCCACGCCTGAGGAGTGTGTTCTCTTGATGCAAAATGAGAAACAGGGAGGGAGGGAAAACAAGCTCTGAATAAGGGGGGGAAGTCATAGAATCCCAGCCTGGTTTGTATTGGAAGGGACCTTAAAGCTCATTCAGTTCCAACCCCTGCCACAGGCAGGGACACCTTCCACTAGAGCAGCTTGCTCCAAGCCCATGTCCAACCTGGCCTTGAACACTGCCAGGGATGGGGCAGCCACAGCTTCTCTGGGCACCCTGTGCCAGCGCCTCAGCACCCTCATAGGGAAGAGCTTCTGCCTAAGAGCTCAGCTCAATCTACATGGAAAATAAAGAGAAGATGATCCTGGCCAGAGGAGACTCAGTCTAGGTTAGATGGAGACAGAAAGAGCTGAACACAAAAGCTTGAAAAGGAGACATGGAAGCAGATAAGGTGAGGCATTTCCACCTAGCTCATCACAACCCTTGGCATCAAGCAGCTTCCCAACCTTTAGGGCCTTCATCCTGCTGGCAAACTGCAGCTCACTTCCGCTACCACCAATTGCAGGAGTATCCACCAGCTCCATTCGGCTGGCAGTAGGAGCCACTCAGGTGGGACAGCAGCACCGCCAACAGTGAGAGCTGAGGTGCTTTGGGTGGCCAAGGGCAGATGAGCTGCAATGTAATGAGGCAGCAGGGGCCAAATGCATTTGGAGGCATTGGAAACTGGAAACAGAAATGTCATAAGCAGCAATTTGATGTAACAGCACAGCACTAGTGCCTCAGTGCTTGCAATGAAAATGGGCTCAGTAGCTTCCTGCTAAGCATTTTTTTTCCCATTACCTGTTTAAATCTCTTCCAAATGGTGTAGAAATAGAATGTGATCAAATGAAAATGGTGCAAAGTCCATCCTTATTGACAACACACCTGCTTTACAGAATATTTAGGTCAGCAGAAATGTATCTTAGTCGTCACAAAATGCTTAAAAGAGTACTTACCATGAGATCTAAACCCTTCATAGAATTCAAAAAATTAACCAAGAGCAGCAGGTTTCCCTCCCCATCAACCAGGTTGGAAAAGACCTTTAAGATCATCACATCCAACCACTACCCCAAGCTGATGGGTCCACCACTAACCCATGTCACTAAGTGCCTTGTTTACAATGGTTTTGGAACACTTGCAGGGATGGTGACTGCAGCCCTGCCCTGGGCAGCATGTTTCAATGCCTGAGTACCCTTTGGGGAAGGAATTGTTCTCAATATCCAGTCTAAACCTCCCCTGCTGCAGCTTCAGGCTGTTTCCTCTTGTCCCATCCCTTGTTCCTTGGGAGCAGAGCCCAGCCCCCTCCTGGCTCCATCCTACTGTCAGGCAGTTGTAGGAAGTGACTAGACTCTCCAGACTGAACCCCCCAGTTCCATCAAACAACTCCTGCTGCTCAGAGTCTGGGGGTTAAACTTTGATGTGCCCTGAACACTGCCCCGGTTACGTTCTTTCAGAGAAAACAAGGACCTGACCTGCTGTCACCCCTCAGTCCCTCTAACTGGAGCTACAGAGCCCAAACCCACACACCAGTGCTAACATCACCTTGGGTTGTCAAGCACCCACTGCCCCTTCCCCAGACATGCTCTATTTCCACTTGAAAGCACATCCAAAGGCTTTTCCTGTCAAGCCTGGGTGCCTGGGCTGGCAGCTGAGCTGAATTCTTTCCACCTTCACATCACAACCTATAACAAAGGACTCACAGGGCAAATTATACCCCATCCTTTAAGTTGTGTAACGCCACCGACCTCGGCAGGCTCACAAAGGTGTCACCGAGAGCAAGGTGGGACAGAATCCGGCTTGGTTTTGCTCTCTCCCTGTAATCAGACGTTCTCTCTGGAGATCAAACAAAGCAGCAGATAGTTGTTTGTGACACCAAAGTGAAAAATCAGCATGTCTTGGTCTAAATATATACAGGGAAGAGGCTTGCTGATCAGCACAACACTATTTATGTGGCTTTCTCCTGGCTGCACAGCCAGGCCAGTTTTCTGATTATGGAAAGGATTGCCCAGGAAAAGGGGGGGGGGAAACCCACATAAAAGAGGAAGAAAAAAGAAAATATGCAAAATTTCCTCCATTTATTTGAAGAGCGAGCAAATCCATGGTCTTGTGCTGAATGGTTAATGCACTGCAATGATGGATGTTACAGATGTGGGTCTTTGTGGCATGAGCTGTCTGATGGAACCTGAGCTCCTGTAATCTGCTTTTAATTGTGTGGAAAACATCCATGAGCTGAGAGAAAGAGAAGAATGTTGAAAATAATGAACCAAAGTTGTTTTAAAAAATCTAAGGATTTTTGCTTTAGTGCAGCACACCAAGCAAAGCCAGAGCAGGGGATCCTGCTATCTGTACATTAAAGTACAATTGGTTCTAAGCAACCCATCACTTAACAGCTTGTGAGGACTGAGTGACATGTCCAAGGTGTCATAAGATGAATGAAAAACCATGGTTTTGATAAATTTGCTGAGAGATACAAAGTCACTGAGTTCTGATGAAGCCCAGCACTGTAGCCCCATGCCTACATGAACCACAGTTTGAGGAGCAGTCTCTGGGTGTGTGCTCAGAATTCAGGTTAACACGCTGCTGGACCGGCAAATCCTCCATGTGTGTGCTATCACCATGTGCTGACGGATCCCTGCCACACATCTGCCCATCAGCAGAGTAGGGATAGAGCAGGTAATTAAGCACTAATGATGACCTTGTTGAGGTGGAAGCACAGCAGGGTGGCGGGGCAGTTTCAGCCTAAGAGGACTCGCCCTGCCAGTTTTCCTGTGAGGATGAGTACGAGGGGAAGAGCACAGGGGAAAATCTCAGCACCAACAAACTGGAGATACCTCCATGTTGTGCAACAGGGTGAGAATTCATTGAGGTTGATGTCGTCCTCGCCATCGCCCCTGGGCTGGGACCTCCACTGAAACTCAGCCATCATTTAAAGTCCATGTTTTCTGCATGTTCATTGCATGAGGCACCGATTTCCTCTTCAGCAGGTATTTTTCAGCACAGACAAGCGGAGAGGACACACAGCATCAGGACAGGGCCTGCACTGGGGGAGCCCAGCAAGGAGCTGTGCCACTGGCCCCGGAGCCTGCGCAGCCCCATGGCAGGATTTGGTCACTAATCCCATCCAACCTCTACTCCCACACAGGCAGGTCTGTCTGCAGCTCATGCTGCTGTGGACCAGCTCCACAGAGCACACGGGGGAGGATATAAGGACTGACAGTACAGAAAATCCCTAGTGAGAACACGATTTGATTTTATTCTCTCTACATCTTTTTTTGTGTAATAAAGTGAATTATTTCACAGAAACATAAACTGTTGGAAGGGACCTTAAAGCTCATCCAGTTCCAACCCCTGCCATGGGCAGGAACACCTTCCACTAGAGCAGCTTGCTCCAAGCTTCATCCAACCCACCCTGATATAGAAAGACCTGGAAAAAACTGAGCAGATTCCCAACAGTTCTTACCCCTGGCCAATAACAGATGAACTAACGCTGCTTGCCACCCAGAGAGAAGCAGCCAGTCCTTATCCAGCTCCTCTACACCACCTAAACCAGCAATGTTAGGAGCAAGGGGAGCTCAAAATAGAAATACCTGTAAAGAAGGGGAAAGAAATAAAATCAATGCAAAGCCCCCCCACTCTGTGTTGAAGGAGGAGGTGCTCCCTTCCATAGGACCAAGTCCATAGGATAGGGCACCCAGCTGCTTCGCCTGTGGCCACAGCTCCCAAGGACATGGGGCTCTTGGCAGGGGTGGCCCTGCTGCTTTGGGGTATGGGAAATAGGAGGTGCACAGAGAGCACAGAGCCTCCCAAGCATGGGATCCATCCCCCCAGTTGCTGTTTCCTGTGGCTTCATCCATCTATAAAGATTTGGAGAGCAGGGATGGAGACAGGGGGGAGGCAAAGCAGGTGTGGGCAGCTGCAGCACTGGGGTTTGTGACTCATGGCTGCAGCTCACGGGCTCCAGCAGCAGCTTTCACACAGCACTCGGCTGCTCTGCTTCACTTGACACATCCTACATGATAAAGCAAAGTTTCATTTTGGGGCCTAGAGATGAAAGAGCCGGGAGATCCTGTTCCAAAGCGTGGTGTGCCCTGCAGGATCACCGCTCCTCCACAGACCCTCGTGTCTTCTGCTCACAGCCCACTGCTCATCCAGGCCACACATCCTGAACCACTCTGCAGCTCTC